ATTCCTGAGAGCTGAGCCTGCTCCCAGTGGGTTCCCGCTGGATGCCTGGGAGATGACAGCAGAGGGTGGCTCCAGAAGGCTAATATTAAACACGAGGAATTAGTACAGAGGGAGCAAGTGAGGTTCCAGTTCTGACCACAGAATGAGCTAAAAAAAAGTGTTGCATCAGCAGCTGTGTGCAGTTTGTTACGGGCTGTGCTCAGGTCCTGCTGTTCAGAGGGTCCCTGGGTGCCCTTGTGATGGTAACTGCTCCTGCCCTTCGTGTGGGGGTGGCAGGGGGACCTTCAGAGCAAGGGGCAGTGACACAGGATGAGTTGCCCTTTGTCCAGGCACGTTTCCAATGGGTGTGCTGGCCACAGCTGTACGGACCAGGCACACCGGGGACAGGGTGGGCTGAGTGTGTGGGCAGGTGGAAGAGGTGCAGACAGGAAAAACAGGAGGAAAAAAACACTGTTTATAAAGCTTTGAGGTGGCTCTGGTTGGTTCTGTGGAAGAGCTGTAGCCAGCCCCACCTCTGTTTGTGTGACTTTGGGAAAGTTACTGGAGCAGCGAGCGGCCCGTGGGCTGGCACACGCCGTGTGGCACCTGCCACTGCACCCCTTCCTGGTGGCCCTGTGGCCACCAGCAGCCCTGGGCAAGGAGGGCAGGAAAGGATTGCTTTCAGGGGTGCTGGTAACCCCAGCAGCCTGCTCTGCTCGGGCACAGAGGGGTGGTGAGCATCTGTACGGGCCTCGGGGGTGCGAGGGGCCGGGGTCTGTGCGGGCACTGCCTGCACCCGGCCGCACGGGACGCTGAGCTCTGGCCACGTTGGCTTTTAGCGGTGTCTGAGCCTCATCTCCTGCCCAAGGGAGCACTGACACGCGTAGGAAGGTGTCGGGTGTACCTGGTGTGGGTGCTGCGAGTTAAAAATTGCCAGCGAGGGCGAACGGGTCACTGGGGTGAGCTCCAGGAAGGCGAAGTGCACACGCTGCTTTATTGCAGTCCTTTTCCCAACGAAGAGCGTGACCTGCTGCTCCTCTTGGCTGCTCAGCACCCGGCTGGGCGAGTTTGAAGGGCTGCCGTGTTGGTTTTTTTTCCGGTTGAGCCCCTCCTGGAGATAAAACTGCCCCGTTCGTGTCTCCCTCCCCTCGGCGGGATGTTTGCAGTCTCGGGTGTTGTGGTACGGAGGGAGAACGCGGGTGTCTGGAAGCCCAGTCAGAGCCCCCTCATGTCCCCCTTTTAAAAGCAAAGCCTGGGGGTGCGGCGGGACGCGCTGAGCCGAGTGGCGGGCGCGGGACTCGAACCCGTGACGGGCCGTGC